AGAACTTGCCATAGTTTGCTGTGGTCCACACAGTCAAAGGCTTTTGCATAGTCAATGAAGCAGAAGTAGATATTTTTCTGGAACTCTCTGGCTTTCTCCATAATCCAGCGCAAGTTAGCAATTTGGTCTCGAGTTCCTCTGCCTCTTCGGAATCCAGCTTGTACTTCTGGGAGTTCTCGGTCCACATACTGCTGAAGCCTACCTTGTAGGATTTTGAGCATAACCTTGCTAGCGTGTGAAATGAGTGCAATTGTACGGTAGTTGGAGCATTCTTTGGCACTGCCTTTCTTTGGGATTGGGATGTAGACTGATCTTTTCCAATCCTCTGGCCACTGTTGAGTTTTCCAAACTTGCTGGCATATTGAATGTAGCACCTTAACAGCATCATCTTTCAAGATTTTAAATAGTTCAATTGGAATGCCATCACCTCCACTGGCCTTGTTGTTAGCCAGGCTTTCTAAGGCCCACTTGACTTCGCTCTCCAGGATGTCTGGCTCAAGGTCAGCAACTACATTGTCTGGGTTGTCCGGGATATCCACATCTTTCTGATATAATTCCTCTGTGTATTCTTGCCACCTCTTCTTGACGTCTTCTGCTTCTGTTAGGTCCTTCCCATTTTTGTCTTTTATCATGTTCATCTTTGCGCAAAATGTTCCTCTAATATCTCCAATTTTCCTGAAGAGCTCTCTGGTCTTTCCTTTTCTGTTATCTTCCTCTATTTCTTTGCATTGTTCATTTAAGAAGGCCCTCTTGTCTCTCCTTGCTATTCTTTGGAAGTCTGCATTCAATTTTCTGTAACTTTCCCTATCTCCCTTGCATTTTGTTTCCCTTCTCCTCTCTGCTATTTCTAAGGCCTCGTTGGACAGCCACTTTGCTTTCTTGCATTTCCTTTTCTTTGGGATGGTTTTTGTTGCTGCCTCCTGGACAATGTTACGAGCCTCTATCCAAAGTTCTTCAGGCACTCTGTCCACCAAATCTAGTTCCTTAAATCTGTTCTTTACTTCCACTGTGTATTCATAAGGGATTTGGTTTAGATTATACCTGAGTGGCCCAGTGGTTTTTCCTACTCTCTTCAGTCTAAGCTTGAATTTTGCTATGAGAAGCTGATGATCAGAGCCGCAGTCAGCTCCAGGTCTTGTTTTTGCTGACTGTATAGAGCTTCTCCATCTTTGGCTGCAGAGAATATAATCAATCTGATTTCGATATTGCCCATCTGGTGATTTCCATGTATAGAGTCGCCTCTTGTGTTGTTGGAAAAGAGTGTTTGTGATGACCAGCTTATTCTCTTGACAAAACTCTATTAGTCTTTGTCCTGCTTCGTTCTGAACTCCAAGGCCAAACTTCCTGTTGTTCCTTTTTTTTCTTTGGTTCCTACTTTAGCATTCCAGTCCCCTAGAATGAGAAGAACATCTTTCTTTGGTGTCAGTTCTATAAGGTGTTGTAAATCTTCATAGAATTGTTCAATTTCAGTCTCCTCAGCAATGCTGGTTGGTGCATAAACTTGGATTATTGTGATGTTGAATGGTCTGCCTTGGATTCGTATTGACATCATTCTTTCATTTTTGAGATTGTATCCCATTACAGCTTTTCCCATTCTTTTGTTGACTATGAGGGCCACTCCATTTCTTCTACGGGATTCTTGCCCACAATAGTAGATATCATAATCGTCTGAGCTGAATTCGCCCATTCCTGTCCATTTTAGTTCACTGATGCCCAGGATGTCAATGTTTATTCTTGCCATCTCCTGTTTGACCACCTCCAGCTTCCCAAGGTTCATAGATCTTACATTCCAGGTTCCTATGCAGTATTTTTCTTTGCAGCATTGGATTTTCCTTTCACTTCCAGGCGCGTCCACAGCTGAGCGTCCTTTCGGCTTTGGCCCAACCACTTCATTAGCTCTGGAGCTACTTGTACTTGTCCTCCACTCTTCCTCAGTAGCATGTTGGACGCCTTCCGACCTGAGGGTCCCATCTTCCAGCGTCATATCTTTTAGCCTTTTGTTTCTGATCATGGGGCGTTCTTGGCAAAGATACTGGAGTGGCATTGCCAGTTCCTACTCCAGGTGGATTGCGTTTAGTCGGAACTCTCCACTATGTCCTGTCTGTCTTGGGTGTCCCTGCACGGCATAGCCCATAGCTTTTCTGAGTTACTCAAGCCCCTTCGCCACGACAAGGCAGCAATCCATGAAGGGGGGTTCCTTTAGCACAGGCACCTATTTGGATAATACAGTTCCAAACTACTGTATTTAGAACTTTTACAACCAAAATCAGGACAATGAAATGGAGTCCAGAAGCAGATTAGCAATGAACATCAATTACACAGGAAATGTACATTATGCTCTAAGCACTTTTTCCCCACAAGTATCCTAGCTCTTGTGGGAAACCTGCAGTTTCCAAATATTTTTCAACACAGTATCACACAACATGTGCAAAGCGAGAACAAACATCTTGCCTTGGATCCAAGGTACTACCTGTCAGAGTCAACAATACCGAGCTAGATAAACTAATGGATTGATAAAATGTAAGATAATTTCCTATGTTTCTATTTCAAAAAAATATTTATTTTATTCTATATACCCTTAACTGTCTCCCAGTGCAAATACCCAAGAAGTCTAAAAATGGGTTAAAGAAGAAAAAAGATACGTTGCAATATTAAAATGTAATTAAACATTTCCATTGCAAAAAATTCCCAAAAAATAAGAAGAGAAGGACAGGCACCCACATCAAAAACTGTTTTCACTGTAGCCAATTCATTGGTGAAAAGTTTGCCTGAAGATAAAAGTTTGGTCTGCTGGCAGAATATCAGCAGGGAGGCAGGCAACCTAGCTTCCCATAAAAAGGAGTTAGCTGCATCAGCTGGAAGTTGCCACCAAAAATATTCTTCTCTTGTGTCCTCACTATGCACAACTATAAGGACAGTGGGACAAAGACAAAAAGGGCCTCCCTGAAATCTGGGGAAACATATACTGTATAGGGAGATAGGTACCAGAATTTTATATTTTCCTCTAGACCTTCTGAATATGACACATGCACTCTACATGAAACAGCCTCCAAGCAGCTGCAACTCCACAAATACTCCCATTATTTTTATTTTTTATTCTGAGAAAACAGAAGTAAAAACAGACTTTATTTTTATCTTTGCCATCAGCAGAAATATTAACAGTATTTCTCTAGCATTCATTAGACTGCACAGCAAATTTTGCATTGACATGTTTAGGTACAAGGGATGCTAAAAGTAAACTGGCTCCTACTAGGAACTGTTGGTTGAAATACAAGTCTTCCCAAAACCACTTATTAGATTGAATTACATCTGTAATAGACATCTGAACACTCCATGTCAGTTTGTACAGGTTAACATATACTGTATGATCAAATTATCAAAATGATGACAAAACACCATCTCCATCCAAGATACTGTAATCTTAATTCTCCCAGCCCCCACTCTATGATAATAACCTAAGAGAACACTTGTCAATTTTCTCCTACTGCATTTAAAAAAACAAGTAATTGTGCTGATATTATAATCAATACTCTTTTCTATTGATAAAAAGTGTTCCTTCCCTTCAAACTATTCTTAGCATTCCAAGTATACACGTGTATTAGTATATCCTGTGTAACATAAGTGCAAGGTAGGCAAAACAGCCATTAAACAAAAACAATATCCACCATTTGCACTTTAGTCCTATTTAAGAGCAACATTTTGGCTCAAACATCAACCGTATCAAACAAGAAAAGCACGGAATGTATATTTTACTTAATAGAAAAATATTTACCAGTGCAGTCTGAAACCAAAGTTACTATATAGAATCAACATGCACCCACTAAGTTAAAAGGCATCTGCACTAATGTAGTATCTGTGACCAAAAGTCTTGCATAACCATAAACCTTTCCTTCTTATATATACTGTATATTCAAGACACCCTATTTGTGTTTCCCTAACACACCCCAAATCAACCCCTCCTCCTCAGCCTACTCAGCAAGAAGTATGCTAGATTACTTTATAGGGCAGTCCTCATTAGCTCTGTCTGCAAGGATAATCAGCAAACCCATGGCACTGTTCCTGAAACATACAGTTCGGGACTTAGAAAAGAAAGTGAAAACTGCTCCAAAAGGAGCAGTCCTGAACTACGTATTTTACCTAAACTGTCCCGGTTTTAGCCTATCATATGTGTTTGATTCTAGTTCATAAATAACTTGCCCAACAACAAGCCAGAGCGGCCCCGATTCCCCCATCGCAAGCCGCAAAAACCTATGCTTCACTCAGCATTGAAAGGGCTGTCCTTCCGAACCACCACACTTCCTAATCTACCCGTCCAGACCTGTTTACCCCACCTCTCACAACCACCTTTCGTTTCTCCGAAGGAGGCACCCGTCGTTTCCTCCCTTCCTACACCCGCACTTTAACCTAGGGCTCCCTCTGCTTTTAACCTTCGGTTACAAACCTCTTCCCAGCCACCCTCCGAACCGCATACCGCTTTTCCTCCGACCATCCCACCGTGGATCAACTTTGCCCTGCGAGGCCTAGAGCGGCTCTTCTATTTCCCCAACTCTTCAGCCCAGCTGGTCCACTCGCACACCCCCTCCTGAATCCAGGTCTCGCCCTACCGTGTTCTTCTTCTTCTTCAAAGCCCATTTGCTTGCTTGGCCGCGCGCGGTCACCCCACCCCCACCCCAAAATAATCAGGTCTCACACAATTTCCTCCCGCAGGCCAGCACCTTCCCCTTTAGTCCCCGAACGACTTCAGAGGCGCTCCCCGACCTCAAGGCGCTCGTCCCAAAGGCTCTCTTCCGAAGGCTTTCCGCAGCAGTCCTCCTCCAACTGCCCAGTTACTAGCGTAGTCGTCAAAGTCGCACAGGAGGCCTTCAGCCACCCTTTTCCTCCACCGAACGAACTCTTATTTACACTCCCGCCCCCCTGCCTGCTCGAGTCTTTCCCCACTCCTTCCCTCCCTCAGTTTCAACACAGACACTAGCTGCCGTTCAACGCTGTCTAAAGCCCACCTCTTCTTGCCTCTGCTCCACGAAAGGCCGTGCTTACCGGACCAGGCCCCGACTCGCCCCCCCTCACTCTTCGTGTAGCTGGAGTTCCCCAGACCGAATCATAACAAAGCTCTGCCCAAAATGGCTGCTCGGCCCTGCCCGGCCGGGGGCCGGAGAGGGCGGGACTACTCACGCGAGGGGAGGGGAGGAGGAGGAAGAAGAGGGCAGAAACACACCCACCTGGCTCTGCCTGTGCGAAAGCGTACAGCGCATGCGCACTTCCTCTTGGCTGCTCGCGGTCTCGTTCTCCGAGGCAGGTAGGCCGTCTCTCGTGCGCTAGCTAGAGAGTACCCCCGGACGCTCGCGCGAGCCCATTTTGCGCATGCGTCAATGTCCCGCTTACGTTAATAAAAGCTGTCGGCAAAACAACTTGCAACTCCTACTTCCGCAATCCTATAAGTTTCGCTTCCTTGCTCCTCTTCCGCTCAGCTTGCACTTGTAAAGATCTGTTGCGTGCTGTAATATACTGTAGCCTGTTTTATTTTTCTCCCCTCGTCAAACAGTCCTGATTAAACTTCCTTTTTTAAAAAAGGTTAGACGTTCATACATAGTCTTTCAAGGAACTTAAGCTAAAAAGTCTAGCACTCGTTTCTCTACTATTTGGAATGCCAGTAATTTGCAAATAAGCATAAGAACAATGTGTTCTTCCCGTTGAAATCCACGAACATCAGCGCAGCTTCAACAAAAAAGAAGATCATTTGCAAATAAGCATAAGATCAATGTGTTCTTGCCGTTGAAATCCACGAATATCAGCACAGCTTCAACAAAAAAGAAAGTTTAAAACTTAACAAAGCCTGGCTCTCAGCACTGAAAAATACAGTCTGCAAAAAGGTCAACAAACTCTACCCAGCCACAAGGACGGGTGATCACTGCTAACAGCACTCATCAATCACAGTGACAGATCACAACAATGCACCCATAACAAAAAACACCCTTATCACCATAATCACACAATCTCCTGAAAAGGAAAAAAAAGCTGATCCTACAGCTACAAATACTCAACTATCCCACACATTACACCAGAACACAGAGTTCTAACTCCTGTCCTCTGAAGATGCCGGCCAGTGGCCAAATGTTAGGAATTAAAACCTCCAGAATATGGCCAAACAGCCTGAAAAACCTACAAAAACCAAGCGTAAGAACAGTTGCTCTGTATAAGGTTTGTTGTTAATCAGCAAGCTGGAGAATACGACATGCTCCAACATAAATGACCTAAATTTAATCAAAATGCAATACAATTTGGTTTTTATTTTCCTGTAGATAAGGTCATACTTAAATAAATTGTATGTCAATCCCAAAACATGTGACAGTTACTTTTTGGACTGCAACTCCCAGAATCTCTTGAAAAGTATGGCCAAGCCATATCGATTTTCTGTCAGTTGTAGTCCGAAAACATAATTTTCTGATCAAAAGCATTGAATGCACTGATACTATTCAAAAACATACACATTAAAACAAGTGTTACAGTGTCAAATTGAGGAAGAAGTTATTTTCCATACAAGGCAACCAGCTAATAGTTTCTGTTTTAAGTCCTTGTATGCTAGGACAGCTCAAAGTGGATTAGACCTTCAGAGACAGTAGTTAGTTGTTTATAGGAAAATAAAAACAATAGAGTTGGGACACCTGAAAGACCAGATGATTTATATTTGAGCTTTTATGAGTTGTAGTCCAGTCAAATACATGTGTGTGAAGATGCAGATTGTAATGCAAGAAAACTCACACTGAAGCAAATCTGTTTATCTTTAAAGTACCCACCAACTGTTTGGTTTTTATTTTAGCTATTCATTCTGAGTTGAACATGACAAACCTTTTGAAAACTGCTAATTAAATGTCATCACCTAATGCTTTTAAATAATGCAGAACAAAAAGAGACAAGCCAGGCAATTTGGTCTTCCCATACTCATTTAAGATTATCATATATGACTGTACAGCAGTTAATTTTCAATAAGACTATAAAGCTGGCAAAAATAAACAACTATGTCAGCTTTGTTTTAAAACATAGAAAACTTTATATTGTATTTGTACATGATTCCCCAATCTTCATTGGACTTTCTTCGCTGTGCATTCAGGCAAAATATGCTAGCTCTTTAATGACATCCAAACATTTTGCACTCCTGTCCATCTGCTTCTATGTGTGTTATGCTGAGTCTAATAATTTATGTAGCACAAGATCAGTAACAAACCTAATGAATACAGGATAAAAACTGCGTATGCTGAAAGCAGAGGTAGAAAGAAGTGGCAGTGAACTAATATTTTATGACTGCCTAGCAAAGCAGATATAAGGGGGTTAATATGAAACATGCTGTAAAATGACTAGTATTAGTTAAATATGTTCACAATATATGTTTACAGAAAAGCCAACAATGTGCTTACACCATACAGTATGTGTGATTCCTCATATACTTCCCTTTAAAGGCAGATTCCTCCAAACCTCCTTATTCATTGCGAAACAGGACAAATTGGTAAAAACTATTTTTAGAATGAAACTTGGCTGAAAAGAAAATCAGAGGAAACCAGCTATTAAATCCTCAACTGTTAATATAAACATTCATACGTAAAATAATTAACATGGAAACTTAAGAAATTGAAATGTCTGATAGGTATTATAGTTCATATTAGTTTTTATTTAGTATAGTACAAACCACACAAAACATCTCATTTACAGTATATTCCTACATATCCGTATAAACACAACTTTTTTTTTAGCAAATGCACCTAAGAATATATCAATAGTCCTGCGGGATCAGACCATAGGCTTATCTAGTTAAGTATCCCATTTTCTAAAGTGGTCAACCTGTGGGAAATTCATAAATTGAACATGATGGCAACAGCCCTCTCTCATTGTTCAAAATTCAAACTCCATCTTAGGTGACACCTTTATTGGACTAACTGAAGGGGGGACCAAAGAAAAATAACACAAAAATGTGTGATACTTTTATTAGCCTGGTAATAAAAGGTGTAAGACAGGGATGTATTTTGTGGGGGCTCCTCTTTAACATATTTTTCAAAGATGTGCCTTTTTATCTCAGCAATATTGACTTCCATGCTCCCAAACTATAAAATACCAAGATACCTTTACTCTTGTATGCCAGTGATGCAATACTGCTATCAATATAAAGAACTGGGCTTTGGGAATTATTGCTCTGAGATTAATTTGATCATCAGTTATAGTAAGTCAAAAGTCCTGGTGTTCTCTAAAGCTTGTAAACAATATAGATGGACCTTAAATGGTAATGCCATTAAGCAAGTGGCCAGAACAAACTATTTAAGCATACAACTGTGGGATATTGGGTAGAACAGTGAAGGCAGGTGAGTTCTAGTCAGCTAGTTCTAGTCAGCAGCAGATCCTAAGGTTTTCTATATGCAAGAGGGTCAATATATCCCTTCTGCTATTGAAATTTATAAGGCCAAGACTCTGGACCAACTTATTTATGGCATCCCTATTTGGATACGTACTGGGATTCAATTCCCAAGTCGATAAACTTCAATCTGCCTTCTTAAGGAAACTCTTGGGCCTTCCATCTTGCGTGGGTTTTGCTGCTATCTATCTGGAGCTGCACATTCGATCATTAGAATGTAAGGCATGGATCACGGCCTTTAAATGGTGGCTAAATCTACACTTTCTAGCAGTCCATGGAAGTTATATCTCTCTACTGCTTAACAATACCTATATTACGCAATGGTAGAGAAAGATGGAGAAGAAACTATTTAAGTTAGATTTTTCAGTAGAAGATGTGGGTAGTTATGATTATCAGGTTAAATCCCTTGTTTAATAGCCTTGGATCTACAGCTCTTAAAAACTGCAGCTAATAAAGGCTGCTCTCCACTGATCTATAATAAAATTAATAATTACGGACTCTTAATTGGTCCATCCTTGTATGCATTATCCATTCCAAAATATAGGAGAGCATTCATGTTAGCTCCCTTGAATGTATTGCCTTCAGCTATACTAGATGGGCAATTTAGGGAAATTCCATTTAATGACGGAACGTCCTTGTGGAAATGAAGAAGCCAAATCAAATAAATTATTTTTCACTGCAGAATGTATGATGATTGTAGAAAGAAGTTAATCTTTCCACTAATAGGTGTCTATCTGCATGGTAGCCCCACAGATTTGATACTGACCTGCTTAGAGGGTGCGTCCACTTATATTACTGACAGGGTGTCTAAATTTTTATTGATTGCTATGAGAACTGGAGAGAAATGTTGCAATCACATTGAAAGAAGGATTAATATACTGTACTACATACAGTTTTTTTCTGTATGTTCTGTTTTCCCATAATCTTGCTGGTCTGAGACTGTAATAACGAACGATGATGGTGATACTTTTATGAGGCCAACCAAACATGGAGGGAGAGGAGAAGTCATGAAATTGCATTCAAGCTTTCAGGGTAACAATAACTATGCTCCCTCCCATTTCTTTCTACTGTTGGCTTAATAAAAGTATTATCCTGGTAAGAGTGTTGGCTTTTCCTTATTCATCAACACCACTCTCTCTGGGAGTTCTCTATCATTGCTGTTACTGATTCAAAAACATGCTACCTCCAGAATGTGAAAATGTTACTTTCTGGAAGAAAAAAAAATCCCAGAATCTTCCAGCCCAATATGCCAAAACTGAGGCACTTGTGAAATTGCCATCCAAAATAAAATAAAACAATTACAAAATCCTTAGTTAACATATCACTATCATAACTAGTAGCCACTGATAGTCTTATTCTCTGTGTATGTTGTATAATACCCTTTCACACTGACCTAAACTGATGGTCATCACTACACCTTGTGGGAGACAACTATATAAATTAACTATGTGCTGTGTTAAGTCTGTGCTTTCATCTGAACAGAATCTTTTGCCATGCAGCTTTACTAGATGAGTTCAGATTCTGGTAGTATGGAAGTGAGATGAAAAATATTTTTGAGTTCTTCATAATTGCTTTTTGTTTTAGGATATCTAAAAAATTTTAGATCTTTGTGACTGAAATGTTTATCCAAACTATATGACCAGATGAGAGGAGTGTTTATCTTACGTTCCAGTCTACAAGACTAGATGAGAGTTATCTGCTAGCAACAGACTACAGCTCTAATATCTGCATGAAGACTCTGGTGCAATTGCTATGCTACTCCAAGACTTCCTCTTTAGTTTGCGCTTTCTTTATTCCAATACATACTTCAGAACCATGGACACACACAAAAAGTACGCAGAATTAAAAGAAAACACACCTAAAATGTCAAGACAATCAGACTATTCCTGACTAGAAGCTGTCAGGATTTGAGTTGTGTGCAGAAACTTTTCCTCAACTTCAGTCATCATCCAGGGAGTCGGTGTCCATGAAGTGGATGTGTTGGTGCTGTTTCAGCGCAACTCTTCTGGAAGCAAAGGATTTGTGTGCTGCGTGCCACTGCAGAACGCCCGAGTTATACTCGCAAACCACGCGTTTCCATTCCTTCTATGCTGTTTGATACAGGAATACTTTTTAATACAGTACCTACCTTTAAATTTGTTCAAATAAATAAATATCCTAAAATTCTGTGTATCCATTAACGTCGAAGGCTTAAAACCCCATCCCAAATACGGGTACAGTAGTAAGTTCTATTTCGTCCTAAAATTAGTCCACGGCTTTCCAATTCAAATACATTTGTAGATCCCTTGCCTCAATTTATCGCACTTCTCACGACGAGATCCGCCTCGTACAGAAGTGAAGGCAGCAGGGTGCAGTAGCTGCTTTTAGAAGGGAAGGGTGGGTAGATACGCTCGCTTCCCTCCGCAGGCAGGAAGAGCTTTGCAGCCTCTTTCAGGCCGAGAGCTTTAAGCGGTGAACGCGATCGCCCCGTGGACTGAAATGGGAGCACCGGAAGCTCCTTCCCTCTGTCTCCAGTTGTGTGAATTATACGTGGGCAGCAGCTGTAAAAGTCAAGGTGCAAAGACACTGAACGCTCTTCGCCTCGTACAATTCCAGGGAACCCATTGTTATCATCCGGCCTGATACCCTTCGATCCCGGAAATGCTTTCTATGGCAAATCAGCAAAGCGATAGAGTCGCAGGTGTTAACTTCCGTTGCCGCTGAGAGTTAATGAACGGCGCGGTTGAAAGTAACGTTCAAATTGCCTGCTGCTTGAACTTTCTGTGGTTTCCTTGTTTCTTTACTGCTTCTGCAAAGTAAGTACTGTATCTATAGACAAGCAGCAGGTTGGGGATCAGGGAAGTTTTGGGGGGGAAAGAGAGCAAAGAACCAACTGAGCAATGTTCCAACACCTCCAAGAATTTCAGGAAGAGATGATTCTTCTGTACAAATACTGAAGACAGAGCAAGTAGAAATGTCTTCAGATTACACCAGTTAAAACAAAGTTCTGCATCTGAACGAGCTGTATACAGTAGTACACGTGTCTTTTATTTTATAAAAATGTCGTGGATGTACTGTGTTCTGAATCGGTAGTTTGGCTAGGTAGGCTCCATGACTGATGTACGGTTTTTTTCTTCTCTTTTTATTTAGTTTTCTCATTCCAGTACAAGCATGTGTTTAAATGCATTTTTCTATGTTTCTTTTTTATATTCATTTTCCCTTCAAAAGCAGTGGTATTGTTTTAGTACTTATACCATGATTTTTATAGGTGCATTTTCAGAACAGCTAACTACAACAATGAATGTATGAATAATTCAAATAAACCATGAACGTTTAGCCATGAGCTTGTGCTTCAGTCTTCAGTCCAACTGAGTGAGGAATTCAGGAATTCTAGGATACAAAATTCATTATCTTGTAAACGTTCTTTTAAAAGTCATTTTAAAAATGTTTTCTTGGTGATGTACTGTATTTTCTAAATTTGTAAATATAATGAAGCTATACTGCAGTCTACTTGTCATTTTTTTCAGTTCCTTTTAAAATATTTTATTTATATCCACTTCTCAGATAATGCTGTTTCCCGTACCATGTCAACTGCATTTTGTTATTTTTTCACCATCCTTCCTAGGTATTGCTATTAAAATATATGGCGCTACCAACATAAATGAAATTAATGAATTAATTTTTCACGGATACCCATGAAGGTTGACAATAATAATAACTTGCCACAATAGCTGATATTTTCCTGTTATTTTTTCCCACATTATTGGCAGGTTTTCCAGAATTAACTTTTGGGCAGTTTACAGTACATTGGCAATATATTAGTACTATTATAGTGAGATAAGTTACTAAGGCTTAAGCGCATCTGAGTATGATTGTAATTCTTAACTTTTGCTGATATTGACTTACACAGATGAGACATGAATTATTCCACTGAGTTTCTGATATTGCAAGTCGTAATTCCACTTTTCAGGCTATTTTTGATCCATTGCTCTTCTGTTAACCATGAATATATTTGAAATAATCATCCCTTTGTTTTGTGGTTGAGACCATAAAAAGTTTTCAAATGCAGCTTTCTGTGTAGAAGGGAGTGAGGAATAAACAGAATGTCTAACTGTATGCCAAAGATGATATAAATTTGTGCTGGGAGAGAGGGTCCTCCTGTATCTTAAATAGATCTATGATTTTATCCACTCCTCCTCAACTATTGATATCCCTCACTAACATAGGCGGCCATAATCAGTCATCTCCAGGTACAGGTGCAGAATGGTGCATGGTCCAGCTGTTGTGGTTGCTGCAAACCAGTGTCATGTTATTCTCAAAGGCTTTCACGGCTGGGATCCGATTGTTGTAGGTTTTTCAGGCTGCTTGGCTGTGTTCTGGAGGTTTTTCTCCCTAACATTTCACATGTCTCTGTGGTTGGCATCTTCAGAGGACAGGAGCTAGAACTCCCAGACACTACACCAGAACACAGACAGAGTTCTAACTCTCATCCTTTGAAGATGCTGGCCACAGGGACTGGTGAACATTAGGAAGAAAAACCTCCAGAACACAGCCGAACAGCCCAAAAAACCTACAACAACCATCAGTGTCATGTTGCTCCCATTAATTTAGAGGTTAAATGTCCTTTCAAATTCTTAGATCTCTTACAGTTAATTTAGAGGTTAAATGTCCTTTCACATTCTTAGATCTCTTACAGTTCATTTAGAGGTTAAGTGTCCTTTCACATTCTCAGCTCTCTTAGTGATATTGATTCATGGACCTAATCTTTCACTTGTGACTGGAATCTTCTGGATTTCACATGAGTGCACTGCTCCTGGAGGAAGGTTCCTTCAGCATAGAATAACAATGATGTGATACTACTCTGTATTCATGCCTCCAGGCAATTCACAGTGCATTTTCAGATTAACCATGCTCTGTTTTTCAGGATCTCAGAAAATGTTCCATCTTTTCCAACGTTTCCAAATTCCTTCCAAGGTAAAGTTCTCAAAAACAATTTATTTTTAAATTTCATTTTACAGAAACTGATATTCAAAGCAGTGAAAGGAATTCTACTGGTAAAAACCCAGAACAGGTTTTCCCATTTCTTTGCAATATGAAGATCTTCATATACATAGAAAGCATATAACTCTTCTCTGTAGGTTTCTCATATGTTAAGCGGTCTGTGCAAATAGCAAGGTTGGGATTTTAAATCATACTCTCATCACTGTAGAATGTTACTTTATTACTTAAATTATTTTCATTGCCATATAAAAAACATCAGATCAAACTGCAGTAGCAGTTGCTTATTGGGTTCATTGTTTTTCTTCTAGTACTATCTTGGAGATCACAAGGAAAAAAAACTGTATAAACACAACAGTCGAAATAACTAGCGTTATTTCTCTATAACAACTGTATAATGTTTGTGATGAAGTACTGCATACTACTAAATTGCTGAAAAGCAGTAGACCAGTCACAGTAGATTCTGTAGTACAGCAGAAGAGAGCAGCTGTTATCTGTTTCTGTGTAGTTCCATTGTGTTCTTTCTGTGACTTGGCAAAAATGGCTGGTTGGTTATGACAAATACAGAATAAAATGTTCCTTTAATCCTGCAAGGATTTTCTGTGACATTCAATAGTCCTGCGAGACCGCTACTGGGCTGTGTGGGCCATGCAGGATATTTAGAAATAAACATTTGTGACAATAGTGAGTTCTGTGGCTAGATTTCAAGTGTAGAACATAGGGTTTTTCTTCTTCTCTCTCCTAAAGCAACTTTTAAAAACTGTTGATAGCTTAGGCCAGAAATCCATCAAGAACAATATTTATTTCTAGTAAGTTGGCATACAGCATGTCAATTTTTTTCCTACATTGAGCTCATAATTAGTCCCTAGTATGCCCTATAGGAAAGATATACTATGGTTGGTGACATAGTCCTTTGTCAGGCTTGGCATTATCACTGGTGTGCCTCTAAAGTACAGCCTAAATGCCATGATGGCAAGCGTGCAAGCGACACCTGCATTCCTCAAATAAGAGCCTGTCAAATTGACCCAAGTTTCTGTATGCTTTGTGTTCTGGAGACCAAATATATTTATCCATCAGTAAATAAAAAAATATCACATCAGGAGTGCCAAAAAGAAAATCAGTTAATCATTTTCTTCTTGATTTTGTTTTTTGTAGTTAGGTGGGAGAGCTGTTTGCCTTCTGGACCATCTTTGTGGAATTTTCATACCATTGCCAGTTGTCCTTGAGTAAGATGCTGTTGTAGAACATATGAAGGGCAGGCAATTTTTGGTACCTGGAAATTGTTCCCCCATTTCTTCGTCTCATGTATTCTGACTTTGATAGTTCCTCAAACTGTCCTACATTATTAAGACTGACATTATTACATCCGAGACCAACTGTGATGCAGTTGCTTCTTTATTGTATACTAATATGTTTTATGTGCATAATTGCAGGTAGTGTATCATCAAAGACTTCTGCAGCTGGGAAGGAGAGAGATCATCTACTCTGCTTATTCTTCTAGTTGTCGTCTGCCAAAACTTCAGCTGCTAAGACAGGCACCTGCCAGCATAATCAAAGCACAGGACTTCCACCATTCTGGATGCAGCTGGAAAAAAAAGAAGCTTCCAGAACCTGAGCTAAACAACCTCAGTTTGGCAAGGTGTAACATACTATCACTCAAGGACTCTCCAAAGCCTGCCCTTTATTTGGGTTTTGCAGGATTAATACCGTTTGTTTCAATGCCATTAATAATGGCTATCCAGCAGGTCTCTTACTCAGAATTAGTGTTTGCTCAGATTGCATATGGTGCGTCTATACTATCTTTCCTGGGAGGGATCAGATGGGGATTTGCTCTTCCAGAAGGCAGCCCTGAGAAGCCTGATTGGTTTAATCTGTTTCTTGGCATAGTTCCTCCATTAATATCCTGGCTTGCTTTGCTTTTATATAGTGCTACTGAAGCTGGATTCATGATTATTGTAGGATTAGGAATAGCCCTACATAATGACCTTGCATTCTTTCCCACATATCCCAGCTGGTTTAAAGGCCTGAGGATAATCTTAACTATAGTGGCTGCAGGTTCCCTATTGGCCACAATATTTATTATGAACTTTTTCCCTGAGAAACATCTATCTGATACTATAAGGGGAACAAATAGCAAATTGAAATGAATGAACAAAATAATAATAATAATTAATAAATAACATTTTAAAAAAAGGAAGTGGCCCATGTACTAGAGGGGCTTATTCACAAGACTGTCGTATGAAAATATGTAGCTTGAAAGGAAGGTTGCTGTGAGAGGAAAATGTGGCTGAGTTCTTTGTATCTATAACTGTAGACCACTGGTTCTTAACCTTGGGTTATTCAGTTTTGGAATTCTTTGCATCTATAACTGTAGACTATAAGAAGAGCCCTGCTGGATCAGACCAGGATCAGGCACATCTAGTCCAGCTTCCTGTATCTCACAGTGGCCCCACCAGATGCCTCTGGGAGTGCAAGAGACAACTACATACCTGTCTCCTGATACCATTCCCCTGCATCTGGCATTTTGAATTACCTTTCTTTTAAGCCTGGAGATTATACATCCCCATCATGGCTTATAACTTGCGTTGGTCTTTTCCTCCAGGAATCTGAATCCTTTTAAAGGCATCTGGGCAAGATGTCATCACCATATCCAGTGGCAATGGGGTTCCACAGACTCATAGCATGCTGGGTAAAGAAATATTTTCTTTTGCCTGTTCTCGCTGTCCCAATACTCAATTTGAGTGGATGTCCCCTGGTTCTGGTATTGCGTGAGAGGGAAAAGAGCTTCCCTCTATCCATTTTATCTATTATCTCAATAAGAAGGAGAGGCCCAATGCTTGAAATTAATTAAAAGAAAACACAGCTGTGACATGCTCTTCTTTAATACTAAGACATACCTATCTACATAAGAGATACTGCTTTTACTTAAATGTAATTGTATCACCCAGTTCGAAGGGCTACATCTAGGCAAACATGCTCAGAAGTCCTATTGAACACACTGACATTTACACTTAAGAAAACATGCTGAAAATTTCAGCCTTAAAGCTTAGTTTCAATCCCACAGACAGAGGACAAGACTTTGAGTAAAACAGGCAGTAAACACGTAAGATACTGTACTTTGGTGAGAACAGTCATTTGGAGGTTGAAAATTCGAATAGGAACTTAACTGCCCTGCTGAATGAGACCAAACATGCCTTTAGCTCAGAATTCTTTTTCAGCTTCTGCTTTAACCATCTTATAGGAGTTTTTCATGAAGTTGTTTTATAGAGAATACATTGCTTTAAAGCAATTTGGTCACAGTTTAACTTCTTATTACAATCAATTTTAATGGATGATTGTGAGAAGATACAGGAAGTCAGATAATGTCTTTGTTATTGTTCAAAGCTCCTTTGTTAGAGTACTTCCAAGGCATTTGCTATACATATTTGAACAGAAAAAAACATGTATTTTTGTTATTTTACAATAGATGTTCTGTGACATTCAATTATTCCTAGGAATGACTACATTTTGGTGTTAAGATTGCAACTCCTTGCATGCTTATCAGTTAAGTTTCGTGATATTTATGTGTAAACACAACTAAGACCATTCCTTAAGACATACTTACCAATAGATAAAATTGTTTAAAATCATTTGGTCTTGGTGCTTTGTGAAGAGGCTTATGTATTGGGATTAGAGGGGTGAAATATAAGAACAGCAGTGGCTTTAAAAACGTCACTCACCTTTGACAGTTAACCATCTCTAATGCTAATTATAATTGCCATGAGGTTTTAAGGAAAACAATGAGACATTTGGAGGAAATGTCATCAAAAAGCTAGTGCATGAGTTCTAGACATTTTAAAAGACCCAGGGTAGTATATGTAACAATGTGTTTTCATTATATATTTGATATATTGTATTGGTACAAAGGATACCCTTTAAGCATTTTCTCTTTGTAATTTAAACTGTAGTTTATCACTTCCAGTGTAAGTTAATCAATGTTATAAGTGTGGCTTAATTTCTTGTGCTAAATATTGGTCATATTCTTGTTTTTGCCAAAAGAAAAAACAATCTAATCAATGTGAATAAAAGTATTGGACCTCTTTGTTGCACTTACCAGTAATTGCTGTAAGAACACACAAGAACATACCCCTAGAATAAACACTTTAAACAAAAAGTTGTGAGGATTTAATCAGGTTCAAGCTTAAAAGTGGGAATAAAATGGAAACTGCATTTTTCTTACCACTGTGTCTGTATTCTTGACTGATACCACATAACATACAGTACATATTTATTATATGAGTGTCAAGATAACATGTGTGACCTACACCAAACTAGCATTCCCACTGCACTTTACTTGCAAAAGGGAAAATATCCTCCGTACGTGTATGAGTAAGTATTTCCTTCTTCCTTGCACCTCTTCCAAGCATGTTACACTATCTTGCAAGAAAATAGAAAATAGTTTCCTTTCACCAAAGCAATCTAAGCATATTTAATTTAAAACACATTGATCAGTAACCTATTCCTAACCCCAACAAGAGGAGGCCTATGGACTCAATGGATTTACAGTTCAGTAAGTGATTCAGTGATATCAGATTCTGAGACTAGCAATATGATACTGGCCATTCCATTTAAATCAGTATTACTTTCAAGTAAACTTAGCCAGCATAGGAAGAAAATAAGACTTCTGAACATTCTATCAAAAAGGGGGCAGTAACTGACGGTATAAGAAATTCCAAACTCCATGTTACAGTAATCTGTTTATTAGGCCAATCAAACAACCAAAACAAAACCAAAAATCTTGGCAGTAGCCAGCTGTTTTCCAGTTGCCGTTAACAGCACTCTGTTATAAATATGGTGCCTCTGTTGAGTAACCTACAAAACATGTTAGCTGCATCAAGCACATAGCTGAATACAGCACTATCCTTTGTTGCTGCCACATTCCTCTCCCAACTTTCTTCAATTATTATAAAAATCATTTATTTTAATTTTATACAATTTGTTCACTTCAACAGGAAAGTATCGGCTATGAGGCAAGTCCTTTCAGTGTTCTTTCTGCTGCTAGAATTAAAGGATTTTACAGACCTCTCTACATTTTTTTCTTTTAAGCTATTCTTTAGCCTTAGCAGCAAAAAGAACTTTGAAATTAACCCCCTCTTATCTGATATTGAACAGATACTATACAATGTCCATGACCTTTAGGAGAAAAAAGTGGCAGGAACTAAATATACTGTATAAGCAGTACACCCAAAACTGATAATAGGTTCTTGCTATCCACGTGGAAGCAAGGAAAAAGAATAAGATATATACTACCAATCTTTTTGTCTTACATATCCAGTGGGAAGGAGGTTTCAATTTAAAAAGTTCTGTCTTCTATTTCTTAAGAAATTCACTGTCTAAAACAAAATTCCCAAACAAGTTTCTAAACAAAACCTCTGCTTTTATTTTTTATGTCCTTCTCAAGTAAATCAATTTATGCAATACAAAGCAGAAGCCTGCTCTTAAAAAAGGTCAACAGACTTGACAATAAAACCATGTCACTTAGGATCCTCCTTGATGACCAGTGTGTTTAACATAACTTGCACTTTTCTTTACCTAGAGGATAACAAATTCTAATTTAATTTTGACTTTGTTATATTAATGACAAAATACCAGAGCACGTATATGAAGGGTAGCTGCTAAAATTCAAAGACATTGCTGCTGCTAGAATTATTTATGAACGCATCAGAAGTGTAAACATTTTAGCACAGTCATTAGCAACTGCTGTGGATATTTGTACATATTTTGGAAATAATTCTTCTCTGTAGAGACATTATCTTAGAAGGCTTTCAAATCCTTACCATCTCTTCAATGATTATATTCACAACTCAATTTTCTTTGCTTTTAAAAAATCCTGTACTTTTCAAAGCACTGCCACACCTCCTTCACAGCGGCTTGTGATCATGTTAGCAATTTCTGTCCAAGAATCCATATGTGGGTTATAAACCTCCACAGTATCTGAAGTTACTGGGGCAGCTGAATCGTAGCTTGCAGTCCTGCCTCCTATTGTGTAAAGGAGGCCATTCACAGCTACAACACATACTCCAGCTCTTGGGGCCTTCATCGAAGCAACTTCCACCCATTTCTCCTAATGAGGAAAATAACACAACAAAGCAAAAGTTTTCTGTGCAGTACATTCCTCTCCAGAAATACAGTATGCTCTACATTTATTTTGGTGATATAAACTTTTTGTAGTGGTTCTGCCAAACTGACTTCTTCATTCTCCTACTAGTAAAGGATAAGAGATTGCAGTTATTAAAATAATTAAATTATAAGAAACGTCTGAAGTAGAATAGCACATTTGATTCATGTAATGGATTAGCTCTAGAGTTGGCTTTACTTAGACAACATGGTGCTTTGGGTAAGAAGGGTATTTATGGCTGCCACTAGAGTCAATCAGTCAGCACTGTGTGAAGCCATACTGGGAGGTAAGATAAGAGAGAGGGGGCTTGATCACAGTCACAAGACTTAATCAAACAGTGGACAATCTCGGAACGAACTCACTTAAAAGCGCTGTGCCTGTTCTAGCTGCTAACAGCTAACTGTGTGATTCACTTCTCTGATCATAATCCAAAGAATATGTGTCTTGATGGGATATGTAGTCAGAGAAATGCAAGACGGAGTCAGACAGGTTCTGCGTGAAGATGATTTGAGAGACATTGGAATATGTTTTTGTAAGTGTTTTGAGAATGTTTTTTTGAAGCCAGCCTGGTTCGAAATAGCACCGAAGATTGGACAAAGAGGCCTGTGGAAGACTCAACATTCTGAGCTAATTGGAGAAGAGATAAAACACCTGGACTTCCATGGGAATTAAGGGAGGAGGAAGGTGTTACAGACTCTTGAGGCTAACTGGTTAACAGCCAGAATTGTCAAGAAGAAGGGAGGAATTAGAGTGTGTAGAAAATGGATGTGAGAGAAGATGGGGGAGATGGAGATCGTCTTGTTCTGCGATTCAATTCCATAATGATGGTTTAAGTATGTGACTTAATTGAGACAGGATGTAAGTACAAAGAAAGAAGGAGGTGGGGCTAGCCCACTGTAGCCCAGCTTAGTAGTGTTTATTATTTTAATGGGAAATCGTTATTTTATTTAACTGTAATGATCTTTGAATATGTTCTTTATGCTAAAGCTTTTACAATATAAACTGATTCTATGAAACTATTTTTCTAATAAAAATTAATTATGAAAATTCTACAAACCGATTGGTCTCTTGAACAGCAGGGACTGGCTAAATCTAGGGAGTGGAGAGGGCCACAAACTAGCTATCTTTAAGAGTCCTACCTAACTGAGCTATTGTGAGTTCTGAGTAATCACAAAGCCCATGTGTCTGTACTTGCAAAGTACTGAGTAAACGTAAAGTGTTCTTTTAAAGTCATAGTTGTTCAAAGGGCTTACGCTATGCACTGCTGAGGTCTTGGGACTTGCCCCACCACAAAGGTGGTAGGTAAGTGGCCTGTCGAACTCTCTGACCAAGTGCCAGTCGCTCCTTAGGGAGACCTAGTGCACCACAATATGGAGCACCATTCATCATCAGACTTACTGGCAGTTTGGCTGTCATTTTTCTTAGTGCAGTTAACAAGACAAACTCTACTGAGAGTCAAACAGAAATGAATAGGACTTGTAATCTGGTTTGTGAAAACTGAATCCTACCTCTTCAAAAGAGTATTTCTCCACAGTTGGAAGGGCATCTTGAGTTTCATTACATCCTCCAACAGCATAGATACAGTCGTTCAGAGTGGCCACACCTAGATATGCTCTTCGAGTGCCCATTTCAGGGAGGGCAGACCACCGCTTAGATATGGGGTCATAGACTTCCACAGAACACAGTTCTATTCCCTCACCGCCAATGCCCCCAACAACATAAATTAAACCTAGAGACATAAAGATTTTCAATTAAACCCACCTGCACACAGTTATTAGTAAAGAGACATATAAAAAACAACAGTTCACAGGCCAGCTATTCATAAGAATTTTACTGTGGAAATAGATAACTCTATGAAGTGGGACGGGTATTGGACACCTCTTCCAGAAACCATTAGAAGCTATAGTCCACTCACATGTGCGCACATACTTGCTGCTAAAGATCACTGTGGTGGAGAACAGGCTTTAGCTTTGCCTCCATCACAGCAAAATTAAGCAGAACTTTTGGGATGGAAGTGAGGTTAAATCCTCCCTAAATACACCTCTGATGCAGATTGTTGGAGTGGGAGGGAGCCTTCACCTTTGTTACCATCACAGGAATTGCATCCCAGCAGTTATCATAGGAAATTAAAAATGAAGGCCCAGCCACAGCTGCTGTACCCAACCTTCCTTCTAGGGACTGTGCTTGAAGAAAGCATTCTCCTCACATGACTTCTTTCTCATAATTTTAAATTCTGATGGGAAATAGGGTAAACAAGGAGATATTTGAAGAAATGGTGGGTGGCCTGAGTTCCTCTGAGAAACAGAACACACTGTAATGCCCTTCAAGGAAACACAGCCCTTTATAAAAATACTTAATTTCTCCAATACTGCCAGCAAGTCCTAAGCATGTCTACTCAAAATTACACTGAGTGAGCCAAATGGGGTTTACTCCCAAGTAACTGTGGACAGGACTGTAGAACTATACACAATATTTTGTATCTAGGAAATGTAACATTACATTGCATGTAACACATTCAGCGTTATTATGATTTCAGTGTAAATCATAATAAATACTTACTGGGCAAAATCCTGTTTGTGTGATGCAACAAAAAGTCACATCTATATAAATGGCAGTCATACCCAGTAACAGGGAACTGCAAACTCTGATTGTATGATTCCCATTGCAACCACCACATGTACTAAAGATCTAGTAAATGGTTGAGATAATGCTATTGACGTAACCCACGTCTGGTCAAGAATAGTTTAATTTTAACATTTTAAATTGGTTTGAACTTTATATTTCATACACTACAATAGTTTTAAATTGTGCAACACTCCAATAAGAATAAAGAAAGATTGTGATCTCTGCCCAATGCACCAGCAGAAGTGCTTTGTGGGTAGTACTTCTGCCTTGGCAATATTGTACTTACCATGGGAATAACACTGAGTTACACTCATGTAGCTATCAATAGATTTTGCCCATTGGATACTTTACAACTATAATTAGTAATAACTGTTACCCAAGGGACGTGGTGGCACAGCGGGTTAAACCGCAGAAGCCTCTGTGCTGCAAGGTCAGAAGACCAGCAGTCATAAGATCGAATCCACGTGACGGAGTGAGCTCCTGTCGATAATAACTGTTACCCAACCTAGCAGTTCAAAAGCATGTAAAAATGTGAGTAGATAAATAGGTACCACCACGGTGGGAAAGTAACGGCATTCTGTCTAGTCGTGCTGGCCAGGTGACCACGGAAACTGTCTTAAGGACAAACGCCGGCTCTACGGTTTGGAAACGGGGATGAGCACCGCCCCTTAGAGTCGGACACGACTGGACTAAATGTCAAGGTAAATGTTTACCTTTACCTTACTGTTACCCAAATATTCAAGTCCATTTACCTTGCATTTCACAGCACCCAAAATTGTAGCGTGGTACAGCCATGCTGCCTACTACTTCCCAGCTATTTTCTTCAGGATCAAAACGTTCAATTGAGTTTCCAATCTCAGCTCCAATCCAGCCTCCTGTAAACCACATGATTACGAAGATAAGAAATGCAGTGGAATTAAGTGTTTCCCATCTGCTTAAAGGAGCTACATTTGTATTTGGTTTAAAATATTATCTGGTTTGTGCAACAGAATGCAATGTGTAATATTAGACTTTAAAAGAGAGGCTTCTAAGGCATCTAAATTAAAGCCATTTTATGTCTACCTTTAATGTTCTTAATACAAGTTTCATCATTATTCTATCTTGTTTAAAGCCACTGGATATTCTATATGCTGTATAACTCTAATTAAAACTATTGCACATAATTCACAAATAAACAATACAATAGAGCAGCTGGAGGTAGACTGTTCTCATCTAACTCAGCAAGTAGTTCTGCTTTTGGAGTTTTAAAAGTCCCTATAGGGAGAATAATGGGGTAGACATTAATTAAATTAAACAAAGGTTTTACTATATGAAAAAAATGTGTTTGGCTATAGCCAAAAAGGATACTTTATTACACAAACCAGTAGTCAGCTTTTGTTATGCACATTTTGCTCTTATTTTAATTCTCAATGATACACAAATCAAATGATTCAGTAGCTGAAGAACTTGCCAAAAGCATAGATAGTCCCGTAACAGGCACACACTCCTAATCCACAGCGAGGATGATTCATGGAAGCTACAGCAGCCCACTGCTTTGTAACAGGATCATAGCGTTCGGTACAGTCAAAAATCATGGAGTCTTTTTCACCTTTAAAGCAAAACAAGAATAGAGAGTAATTAGATATGTTTTATATAACACCTCTTCAAAACAAGGCTCAGCCATTGAAAGACCAATAGTTCATTAATATAAGTGTTATAGTATACATACTATGTGTCATTGCCAAATCTAAGGCACTCTCCCTCTCACAATGTAGAGCCCTAAATCATGGTTTCCCAACGTGGGGGTCAGGCTGAACCCAGACAAGACGGAGGTATTGAGGGTGGGTGCCCCCACAGCTGGGGATTTGGGAAGCTCCCTCTCTTTTGGGGGGGGTGACTCTGCCTGCCAAGGATGGGGTCCGCAGCTTGGGGATCCATCTGGACCCGGCGCTCACTATGGAATCCCAGGTGGCGTCGGTGGTCCGCACTGCCTTTTCTCACCTCAGGCGGATAGCCCAGCTGCGGTCCTACCTTGATGTGGGGGCGCTCACTACCTTGGTGCATGCGCTCGTAATCTCAAGATTACTGTAGCCCCACAGTAATGCGCTCTACGTGGGGCTACCTTTGAGGCTGCTGCAGAAATTACAGGTGGTGCAGAATGTGGTGGCCAGATTACTTATCTCACCCACTCTGGCCGCATTGCATTGGCTGCCCATCTGATTCCGCATCGACTTCAAAGTGTTGATGCTTACTTATAAAGCCCTAAACGGTTTAGGGCCTCGATACTTGGCGGAACGCCTACTCCCACCAAGATCTACCCGTGTCACTCGTGCGAGCCAGGAGGTGAGGCTGAGGAGC